GCCCAGCAGGTTGAGGCTGCGGTGGCTGGGAGCGGCCACTGCACTCCAGTCTGGGCGACATAGTGAGACTCCAACTCAAAAAAAAAAAAGAATTTCTCATGAACACCTGCTCTCGTTCATTATTTGATACAAGAAAAAGCATCCAAAAACAAAGTTTCCAATTTGTTTGGATTCTGAAAAACATAGGATTTGGGTTCTTCCCTTGACTTTCGTTTTAGGTGACTAACTAGTTTTAATTGATATGTTGACATGAACATGCTGTAGGTGTCTGCTGAAAGGTTAGCATCAAAAGAAATTAATGTCCTGGCGGGCTTGTGTTTTTCTCTGAGGCAGATATTGATGAATGTACAGAGGGAATCATTGAGTGCCACAACCATTCCCGCTGCGTTAACCTGCCAGGGTGGTACCACTGTGAGTGCAGAAGCGGTTTCCATGACGATGGGACCTATTCACTGTCCGGGGAGTCCTGTATTGGTAAGCAGCTTTCAGCCATGCCCTCCTTCCACCTGGATCTCTTCAGAAGGAGCAGCCTGATTTTGTCCTCTCTTCAGCTTCCGTTGTTAAAATATGACCACTCACTAGTTAAACTCATCAGTCTTCACATTTTCTCCCTCTACAATTTAGGGATTAAGCCAGGGATTACGCAATGTGGGGTGTTAACATTCTTAAATAGAAACTGGAGCAGTCAGAGGAACAAAGCCTCGGTCTGTATGCTTTGGCATTTAGTTATTTCTAAGGAAAGCCGTCATGACTTGCTGAAATTTTTGACAGTTCAGGAGGCAGCTGTAGAGAAGAGGAAATAGTACTGGATTTAGAATGAGAAAGTTTAGTTAAAATTTTGGCTCTTGTATTGCCAAAGTTACCGTACTCTCCCATCCTTCATCTGTGTATATATAAAAGTAAAACACATATATTATTAAGATTAAATGGAATACCATATATTTAAAAATTGTAAGCTTTGAATTAATGCACATATATAATATAGTTGCATTAACTTTATTATTGTTACTTTTGCCACTACCATCATCTCTTGTGAAGTTTCCTTTAACTGCTGTTCTGCTGTGGTTCTGTTAAATGCTGAACTCAGGAAGCTAGCAGATAGTTGATCACCTTCAAGACCTTACAACTTTCATGAAGTCAAACAACTGATCAAAAATGTACCTACTTCCATGGTAACCTTGCCAATTCAGTTCTTTCATATCACGTGCTCTCAAATGAATTCTCAGTGCTGGTTTGGATCAGTCTAAGGAGAAAAAGGTCTGAGTTTGGGTTCCCAGAGTTGAAGTTGCTGAATTTGAAAGTGGGAATTTGATTTTGAAAATCTGTTGTCTCTGCCTATTGCATGTTGTTGTTGTTGTTATTTTGTCTAAAGGCTGTTGGTGAGCTTCAGTCAGTGTTTTTCTAAATTCATTGAGGTCCTAAAGCAAATATTAATTACAAAGCAACGGCCACACGAATTGTCCCCCACAGTCTGACGTTACCATTGAGAGGAATGTTGTGTAGTAATTAAAAGCATAGACTCTTGGGCCAAATGTCTGCAGTCAGATTCCAGCTCTGCCATTTCTAAGTAGTTCACTTGGGCAAGTTGCTACCTCATCTGTAAAATAGAAATAATGTTCATATCTAATGGCTATGAGTGTTGTGATAATTAATCGAATATCTGTTACATGTTCAGTAAATGTTAGCTATTATCTTAAATGTCATTGAATATTCATTATTCTGTCCCATACTCTGTCCGTGTTTCTTTTGTTGTCAAAGTAATGATTTTCAACTTCATGGAGAGCTTTGAGTTTATTCTGGGTCTTCACATATTTTGTTTACATACTGCCAAGGACTTCTGTGTATGTGTGGATCATTGAAAACTGATGTCAAGCCGGGCTGGGTGGCTCAGCCTGTAATCCCGCGCCTTGGGAGGCTGAGGTCAGTGAATTGCCTTAGCCAACGGGTTCGAGACCCGCCTGGGTAACTTGGCGAGACCTCATTTCTACAATAAATCAAAAAATCAGCCGGGCGTGGTAGCGCACACCTGTAGTTCCAACTACTTGGAAGGTTGAGGCAGAAGGATCGCCGGAGCCCAGCAGGTTGAGGCTGTGGTGGCCGGGAGCGGCCACTGCACTCCAGTCTGGGCGACTGAGTGAGACTCCAACTCAAAAAAAAAAGAAAACTGATGTCATATGAACAGAAATAGATCAAGTGACTGTAGTTGGAGAATGTAGCTAGATAGAATATTGACATATGATATAAAATTTGGTGTCTAAAATTTGAATTTTTACAAATTGTATTTGTCACGAAAAGGGGAGACTGTTAGATTTTTAGTGAATAAAGGACCTTAAAATCAGCTATCCAAACCTATTTTATAGCTGCTTCCTGATCATCATTTAGTGTTCAATTGGTAGTCAACAGCACTCTGTTGGTTCAGAATATTTCTTGAATCAACAGTTGTGTAAATCAGATCAGGACACTCCTTGGTTATGGCCTCCTAATCCTTTCTCATTGGATATTGAAATAAATGCGTAACTTTGCCATCAAGGTTTTGGGTGATACTGTTCCTGTCTACTTCTTGGCCTCATTCCCAGTGTATGTTAGTTTTTGAGCTTGTCATGTCTTGAACGTGACAATAAGTTCATCCCAGTTTCCCTTTGCTGTTTTCTCTGCTTCAAGCACTCAGTACCTACCTTGTTGCATGGCCTGTTCTGTTTTTTGGGTCTCAGTTCAAATGTCACTTCTTCATGAAGACTCTCTCTGATTGTCTTATCTGCACTAACCTTTCCCCAGTCATTTCTTTACAATACTCTTCCATATCTTTTTTAGTATTTTATTTTTTGTTTTGTTTTGTTTTTTTGTTTTCAGATGCTACTATTTGGATAATTTATTATGAAAAATAGATCACCAATATATTGCTATGATAATTCAAATTATAATAAAATAATAGCAATTTTTATAACAAAGATTAAACTTAACATTGAATAGTCACTACTATTTAAGATTTGTGCAGGCGTATTTTCCTAAAATTATCTCATAAATCCTCCTTCCCCCCAAGACCCACCAAAATTTAAATTATTATACCAATATTATGGATGAAGAAGTGGAAATGTCTTAAGTATATTCAATTATTAAGGTATACAAATATAACTCCTTTGGTCCTCCTCATAGTACAGAGCATAGATAACCCCATGTTTTCTTGCCCCCTTAACCTAACACTACTTTCCAGAAACTTTAATAATAGAATGAAGATGTTTCCTTACAGCTATTGCTTAGAAGCTCTAAGATGAAGAAAGATTTGTCCTAGAGATGAGTAAAAATGGACTTACATGGAATCCTGCACTTGGGAGAGTAATCAAAGTCAAGTGACACTGGTTTCAAAGACAATTGTTTTTTTGTTTTCTTCTATTTCTTCAATCAGAGAAGGTAGGCACTGAAATGTTAAAGTTGCAGGAAAAATTCCTTCAGGGTTTCAAGTGTGGTAAATAATATTGTATAATTCGCATTTAGGCTTAATCTTTGTGGGTGATAATAGTCAGTGAAAATTATGGTGAGAACAGATATGTCCTTATATCTTTGTGTAGCTAACCCTTAACTGTACCCCTCAATTTTAAAATAAAAAATACGTTAAAAAAATAAAGTCAAGGGCAAGTGGGCTACACAATTGTACTGTATACACTTTGAACAGTGATTATTTTTCTTTATTTGAAATAACATAATCAAATTGTCATTCTTCTATGTTTATAGATATAACATAAGCTTCTACATAGAAAAACTAAAAATTATCCACCTTCAATTTCTTTCTGCTACATGACAGGTTTTCCATTAACAGAAAAACCAGAACGAAACATCTAACCTTATTTATGTCCTCCCACTATTTCCGATGACAGCATACATTATTTTCACTGTGTCTCTCATCAAATAAAACAAAGAATTGTTGCTTTTACTGGGAAATAATTAGAATTGGATAACATTTTTTAGCATTTTCAATATTCAACCGTACTGTGCCTACACATGTGTAATTGTCTCTTGCCACAAGTATACAGTTCTTCAAGGGCAGACACCTGTTCCTCTTTCATCTTTATTCCCGCCAGCCCCTAAAATAATGTAGGTAGTGAGTAGGCATTCGTTGCATATATGTCAAATAAATGAAGGAAAAGAGAGTCAAAACTGTATCTGGTCAGATTTATTTTCTATCAGGTTTGACATAACTAGTTGGGTAGATTGCGATACATGACGTAAGATGTTAAATATCACAAAACCATATGAGTCTTTTATTTCAGAAAAAAAGTATTTATTGAGAACAACCATCAAACCAGCACTGCATTAGGCCTTTTGGGAATATGATTGTGGGCAAGTTACGATGTCTGTACTTGAGGGATTTGCGATCTGACATATTCTGGATCATAATAACATATAAGCACTGAAAATGAGCACATCAGGATAAACCCTAAATAACATCAACCACTAATGCTTATATTTAAAAGAAATAGCAGCATCTAAAATAACCTTTAATTTTTTTAAAGTGGTTTGCAGCATGTACTCAGCTATGCTTTTTTCTTCAGACAATGGCAGGAATGGCATAAGTAAGAAACTAAAATGTATCAGTTTAGGCTTTTAGAAGAACAGTCTCATGCCACTCTGTGCCATTTTTTTGTCAGATGAAGTTAAAAGTACCTTCCGTATTGATTTTATCAATTACTATAAGCATTGAATATTACCGACATCATGAAGAACAACAGCCTTGCAAGAATTATTGTTTATGAGAAAAAATATGTTAAATTGTCTTCTTTCTTCTCAAGTATAACATATGAGTGTAGAAATTACCAGACCTAGGTGTTGTAGGGGAAGGAATAACTATATTGAGGAGCTTATCAGTTAGAGTTAGCATCTGTCTTCCTTTCTCCCACCTTCCTTCCCTCCTGCCTTCCCTTTCTTCCTCCCTCCCTCCCTGTCTCTCTTTCTCCTCTCTCCTTTCTTCCGTTTTCCTTCTCCATTCTCTCTCTCTTCCTCTCTGCTCTCTCTCTCTCATTTGCGTGTATATATTTATAATGCCAGAAGAGAGGGGTACACAACAATTTGCAAATTGGTGTTTGTAGAAGAAGATGATGACAGTAATTCATTGTTACTGTAGGGTATTGTGTGCTCATTGTATCAAAACAGTGGTGGGAGTCAGTGACTCTCAGGCTCAATATAGAAGCTGTGAGCAACTGCTTTTTTTTTTTAATCTAGGCATAGCTATCTAGGTCATTTAGAAAAGAAAAGAACTAATATGTAATTAACAATGACATACATAAAGAATAGTAATTTATATACTTTGAAAATAAGATTCAGACTTCTCAGAAGGTCAATCTGACTTCATGATCTTGCTCCTGCAAATAAAACTTGATTTTCCTCTGTTTCCACTCATACTTTGTGTGGATACTCAAGGATACCCAAGTCCTTATTCCACTCTTTTCAAATCCTGCACTCTCTTTCCTCTACTCATTTGT